AACTCTAACTGATTAGATATTGATATGGGCTACTCTTTTCTGAAACCCTACCAGTTTTCCATGCCTTTGCATACCTAAATTGAGACCTTGAAGCTGGAATTTTTTCAAGGCTCTTGGAAAAGCTGCAGCTTTTTTAGTGTTTTGACATTGGTTCTGTGGCTTTAAAAAGCTTCAGTCTTGAATTTCAACTATACAATCATTAGTCATTTTGGAAAATCTTAGCTTAAACACTTATTAAAGGGGAAACAGTGACAACAACCAGTTGAAGGCAGGCTCATAAACCCATAATAAAGCACTTTCACAAAGAGGTTGATTTCCGAGACTGTGGTCCACCCAGCAACTCTGTCCTAATGTCCTTCCTAAACTGAGAGGCAAGGCACRTAGTGTTTCCCAGGATGTCTTTGGAGCATCATGTCAGGCAGTGACCAGAGACAACCGGGGTGCTTTAAGAGGGCAAGAACAACAAAGCCAGGACCTTTTCCTTGGTGCATTTGTTCTGCCTCCACCTTAGGTCATGTTTTCTCCTGTTTCTAGCAGTAAGCTCTGTAAGATGGAACATGCCTCTTACTTCATGTCTGTACAAGTGCCAGGTGCACTGCTAGAAAAAATAATCCACGTACAGAAGAGCTGCCAGCAAGACTGGCAGCGTTCAGGAGGGTGAGGAGCGAGTACTTTCTGGTGTGCGTGGTGAGGAAATGGAGTGAGGTTTCATTCCAAATGAAACATGATTAAGATTGGCTTTGCAAACTTTCTGGGTCGTATCTTCTTTCTTGTGCAGTAATCAGGGTCTCTATGGTGTTATGACTGGCTTGGCTAAGGAGCAGCTCACGACCACAAAACTTAAAACTTGTTTAGCTGAGTTTGCCCTCTCTGAAGTGAGTCAAAGAATGGCAGAAAACAGCAAATATTTTCCCTCCTTCTAAACCTACTGGGTGAAGTACTGTACTCAGTATTCATTAAAACTTCTGCTTCCACGCACGAGAATGTTTCCTAACTCTGCTCACAGAATTGGTCCTCTCAAATTCAAATTAACACACACTTGAAGTTCTTGTTAGATCTTATCATCAACAGCACCTTCTGAGAGCTTACAGAATCCAAAAGCACATTTAGAATTAGAAAAAAACTATGGAAAAGCTTCTCTGGAACAGTTTTCAACATGTATCCATAGAAATAGAGGTTGAATTGGGAAAAATGTGCTATATTATTTTAAATAATCACCATATAGTGATTACTGTAAAGTATGTGCTTTGTTTTAACCAGTTGGACACTCATTTCCATAGAAACAGAGAGAGGATAGCAACCCACTTGTTTGAACTGWCCTGTAGATTCTGTCTGTGTCAGAATGCAGGATTATAAAGCTCTAAAAAATGTGGGAAAAGCCTGGGGTTTTGTTCTTAGATGTTATCTTTTTTTTGTTGTTGTTGTTGTTATTTTAATTCTCAAAGGCCAAAAAGAAAATTAGAGAAATTATTGGAAACTTATTCTGGGAAAATAGAATGACAATGACATGTATCAGCTCTTAAAAAAATTATAGGTCAGAAAGCAGGAAGAAAAGGCAGCTGGAGACATAGTGGGGAGAAGTGTGTGTGTGTTAAAAAACATTTCTGAGATTATATTTTTCTGACAATTTTTGTTCAGTACAGGAAATCTATTTTTTTTTTTTTTTGCTGATAGAAAATTTTAGGCCATCTGACTCAACTGTCTTTTTTATTTTATTTCACATTCTTCTTTCCACATTCACTTTCTTTTATTTCACATTGTTTACTTCTTAATCAACAGCACTAATTTTATTGGAATTTCCATACACTAAGCCATGATATGAGTTTCAAATTGGCAGTTTGGCTGAAGTTCAGGGGAAAATTATTAATATGGAGAAAAAGAACCTAACGTTTTGGTTTTGCTTTTACAAAGCTTCCATGTTGTAACACAATTCCTGCATTTCTAGCACTGTGAGATGATTTCTCCCCAAGTTCAAAAGAGAGAAGGTCGAGGTGATATCTCGCCTGGATTCTAACTTAGAGGCTTTCGTGTGATCTTTTTTTCTTTGGGGAAAAAGGGGAACCTAATTCCTGTTGCTCATGAGGAAAGGACAAGGCTGAGATTCTGTAATTCTACATGCTGAATGAGTCTGGATTAGCTATATTGTCTTCCAGCTACTGAGCATTGCCAGCTTGTAGGAGCTGCTTTCAAGGCTGCAGTGAAGAGACACAAATTCTGCACATCGTGATGAACACTTTCTCCCTTCCTGCCTCGGTGGTTTACATTTCTGTCTCCAGGTTTACTGTTTAAGCACTACCTGTTGCAGAGAACAGCAGCGATTCCCAGAAATACTTTTTATATTTTAGGTTCCTTGATTATAGGTTAATGTTGAACAGCAGAGTAGTYCCCAGCCCCCATTCAGAGGGGGGAAAAATTATTAAAAAATACCAGTTCCATTCTACTGAAAGCGTRTCTTCAATCAATTGCTGTCAGCCACAGTGTCCGTAAGTTTTCCTGCTCTATAGGAAGGCTTCCTTAAAAGGCAGATGTCTACATGCAGGAGCACCCAGCTGCCTCTTTGCTGTCATTCAGCCTTCACTGCTTCACCTCCCTGGAGATTACCCACATTTCAAACCTTTCCCAGTTCAGTTATTCCACCTGGAAACTGCCTTTGCCTTTGGGTTGCAGCCACACAGTGCCAAAAGCATGCCAGGTTCATTCCTGCACTTTGGGGCAGTCTTTTGCTTGCAGTATCACCGGGCTAGGAAAAGCAATGCTATCACTCTGGGGAAGAGAAGATTCACAAGTTCTCGTCAAGCAACAGCTCTAGCAGACCTTCTGATTCAAAGCATTTCAAGCACACTTWTGGGATATGTCACAGGGGGTTTTGATGCTTTATAAACTTTTCTACATTGATTGTGTACTTGTCACAGATCCATTGCCTACTCAGTCACTCACAACAGACTCAGTTTTCATAATTGACATCAATGTTCCAGGGATTAATGAGCAATTCTGAGAGGAGGTGAAACACTTCCTGTGAGAGCTGTAGGAGGTGGCTTGAATATGAGAGATCTCTCTGTTGGCTGTATAAGGAGTGGAGGTTTGGCATCCTGAAGCCACAGATGGTCTGACTGCACTCACCTGAACTTATGGCAGATACATAGTTATGGCAGGTAAGCWGCTGGGGTAGACAGGTAAGTTCACCCTAATCGTCTAAAACTTTTCTAGAGGATGCAAGTATGGCCTCCGAATGCTGTCTTTGTAAAAATCTATGCTACTTGTTCCGCARTATTCATTTCTGCCTTTAGTGAGACTGACCTGTGACAGCAAGAGCAGGAAGTTTCAGATTGAATGATCAGGTATGGAAAGATCAAGGGGAAAAATGAGGGGAGTAGGGGGAGACTCCCACAAGTCTCCTTCCAGTTCTCCAGCCGCAAGGCAGAGAGTAACTGGCKGAGTTCAGAGGCAAACAATGTCCTTGTCTGAAACAGCCAGATGCAAGGGCTTTGCCTGCASAACTACTGCTCTCTCTCCCCATCTGTGTTTGCAGCTGCAGATGTTTCAAAGCAATTTTACACTGTTATTTCGGCACCTTTGATCCCATTTATCTGAGTTCAGTAAAACTTGATGGAATGCCCCTGACCTTGGACAGGTTCATGGGAAACCTGTTTTGCTCTTATCTGCCCAAGACTAAGGAAGCATGCTCTAAKATATGTGTTACCCAGTTGTTTTTCTGTGTGTGAAGAGGGAGAGGGTGAGGAACAAAAGGGGGTTCAGATTCAAACATGAAGACCAAATAGGTCAAAGTTCATCATAACCTCCAGAAAGAAGTGCCAAAGTATGGAAATTAAAATCTGGACACATTCCAGCTTCAGTTGGAAGAGGAGATGAGGAATAGATGTAACACAATGAGTTTGGTTCCATCATCTTTCAGCTACTCACTCGTGGGTTGGTTATTTTTGGTTTTTTTTTTT